AAAGTACATCGAAGTAACAGGGTTCGGATTAAAGGACTTAGGGTTCCAACTCCCTTAAAACTCTTTTTTTTATTGCTTTATAAAAAATAAATAGTGATTTGAAGCATTCATTCAATTAAATTTAATAATATCACAATTTTATTTTGATTTTTTTGTGTATTTTTCTGTTTTCAGATGTTAACTTCTCATGCCGAAAACATTTTTTATTTTGAAATTTAAAAAATCGCGCATTGAATGGTTAACTTTTACCACTGAAATCCTGTGTGAACAAGATGCGAATGTAAGAAATAATAAATTTTAAACTCCTTGAAAAAAAACTAAATAGAACAATGTAATGTACTTACAATAGATCAAAGACAAATTTCAAAAGGGGAAATTCTTTATGTACTCTTAGTCAAATTAGTTCTTAATGGTGTGAATAATAGAAAATCAAAAATTAAGTTAAAATGAAAAATATATAAAAATTGGAAAAGTAAACTATAATAATAATGATAACAATACACCTTTATGCGCGCTCAACGCAGCAGCATTAAGTGATTTCATCATCAAAATTTTCTTAAAATTAATCAACAAAAACTATAGTATTCAGCAACAGAAATTCTCAACTAATTAAAACACATAAAAGAAAAATTAAAAAGTAAGAAATATAATCAAAATGGAAAAGAACCAGAATGGCGATACTTCTTCGGAGACCACACGCCATTGTAGTTCTAAAATGGACAAATTTTCTGTATAAAGGAATGACCATAGTCAAAATTTATTCCCTTATGTGGCCTGAATCTGTCCAACAACTGAATATAGGATAAAAGGAAAAAGAAAAAACTTAACAAATTCCTTTAAAACAAAAACAATAAAGAGACAAAAAGAAAATGTAAATATTCACCCTCTCTCAAAACCAGAATCAAGAAAAAGACGCTCTAGACAAAGAAAGCAAATATCTAGAAGCTAGCCCCTAGCTCCATCTATGTAGAGAAATTCGAACTATTCTCCAGAAGAAGAAAAACTCTTAATGGTGTAATAGTTTTAATCTAGGTTATTTGAAAATTTTGTACATCGAATATGAAAGATAAATATAAATTTTAAAATGATAAATTAAATTTTAATTTATTCACTTGAGTGCAATTTCGAGCAAATATCGTCTTAACACGGGCAATAATCTTTAAACAACTTGAAAATCAAACAAAAGTATTTTTGAAGTAAATTGAGGAACAAACTTATTTATGCGACTGTTGCATAAAGTTGTTATTATGCAAAAATTAAAATCTGTTTAGCATTCTCCTAACAAAAGCTATATTTAAAATCTTTCAATATCAAAGAATATATTTCAGTCTAAATAAGTCTTAGAAAAGAAAACTCACCTTAAATTTTTTTCCTAAAAATAAAAGATTTCAAACTAATATTGAATACATTGTATATATATTTAAGGGCTTCAAATTTCAAAGGCAGTTTTTTAAGCTCGCTGAAAAAACGCTGTGAAAAAAAATTGAAACCTTCGAAACCAATTCAATATATTTGTAATTTTTTATTTTAATTTTTAACTACTCATATTCCAGTAGGACATGTAGGATAGTTACTTACACTTGATTATTTTATTGTAATTATTTGATAACATATTATTTATTTGTTTCGTTACTTGCTATTTATTATTACGTGTTTATTATTTAACAAGTTATTTATTTGGTAACATGAAATCGTCTCCAGATAATGAGTAAAGACTTGATAGAGCCAGGTAAAGTGATAAAAAAACAAATAGAAGTTTCATTACGCATCTTTTTTACTAAAAGTAAAGTGTTTTTATTAAAAATATATACTTGAAAACAAATCATAAAAGCTTGAGAAGCTATTAGAAATACTTTAAGCAAATGTGGTTTAATTACATTATTAATATATTTTATACGACATTCATTGTGGGTTCATTTCCTTATAGTACTATTTTCAGCGCCGTACGCTTTTATGAATCTTTTTTAAGTCTATAATTTTGATTTAAAATATATGTTCTACTTTTAATTCTCTAATAAAAGCGTGTTTTAAAATTTTACTTTTAATTTCTACGCTTTAGTATATTTAATATAGTTTATAATTAATTATTATAAATATTATGAAATCTTAATAATAATATTGCGCCTCCTATAGGCGCTCTGCGGAACTAATTTTTGCAGCAAAATCTTTGAACACCTCATTTGATTAGTAAATATGCATATTTTTGTATCGACTTACTAATAGTTACTAGCCACTTACTAATAGCTACTAGTCACTTACTAATAGCTACTAGCGACTTACTAATAGCTACTAGCCACTT